CATAACAATCCAATAAGCCCTAAAAAGCCACAAATCCATTCTTGCATGCACATTTGGGCCGTACCCCACTCCAAAGGCTCAAATGGACCAAAAGATATTAAATTGGGCTCCATATTTTGGACTCTAACACCAAGGCCCAAATCTTTTCTTCTCCCTCTCTCTCTCTTTCTCGGCCCAAGTTAAAAAAAATAGGAAAAGAAGGGATAAGGGAGGGTTGACTTTCCATGGTGCCACTTCATAATTATCCATGGGATATCTATCCATCAAGTCACATACTTCCATGCATCCATCCTATCACCTCTCTCTCTCTTCTCCTTCTACTACTCTCGGTCGAGAGTATCAACACACACACACACACGCTTATTTCACTTCTAAATCCTCTCAAGAATTCACAACAACTTCTTCACTTCTCCTTCAAAATTTTCGAGAGTTAGGGCTTTTCAAGGAGGTTATTCCATAATAATCATCATCATTGGTAAGTTATTGGTTAGATCTATAACATAGTCTCTTTATTTCATCAAAACTTCTTCCTAACTCACACCATTCTCGTGATCTACTTCTTAGAAACTTCTTAAGTTCGAAATCAACCCAAGAAAGCTTGCTAGGGCCGAAAAATAGCATCAAACTCTTCCCTTTCTTCTTCAAATCAAAAACAACAAGCAAAGGTGAGTTCATACCCCTCTATTTTCGGTTTTCACAAGTTTTATGGGGGAGAATACAAGTAAAATGTGTAGATCTATGTGTATGTGTATGTTATGTGTGATTTCATGTGTTTATGTGGTAAATATGTAACAAAAAGAAAGAAATCTCGAGATCTATGGCACAAGAAGGAAAATAAACATGTTCTAATATGTATTGCACTAAACAAGTCAAGAAAAATTACCCTCTAAGGTTATAATAAACATATTGCAACATAAAACTCATTTTTGGACTATATTTGTCAAATAAACGAAAGTTGGGTTAAAAATGGTCATTCACGGTTTTCTTAAGGACCAAAAGAGTCAAAACAATTAAAATAAATGTTTTTATGAATATTATGCTCTTTAAGGGACTAGAAATGTGATTTGTAGCCTAATGGGCCAAATTTTGGGCTTTTCGGCCCATAGGTCCAAAAATTGCGAAAAATGTGATTTTCAAGGGGTTGAAATGGTAAATTTCTCAAAACAGGGGGTAAAAGGGTAAACAACTATTCCAGGGGTTAAAATGATTTTTTTTCAAAAAGGATCAAAAATGTAAAGTTTTTGGAAATTGGGTCAAAATTGTAAAAGTTGCGAAAAGTTTGGACTTTAATTGAAAAACTCTTTGCTGAAAGGGTTGAAACTGCCAAAGAGTAAATTTTGAGCTAAAAACATTACTTAAACAAGTCTATGGGTCAAAGATGTCAAGAAAAATGGTTCAAGGACCTAAAATGTCATGTTTTTATAAAAAGGGCAAAAATTTGCCAACTTTACAAAAATAAGGGGCTGAATAGGTCAAACTAATGTTTTTGGTCAATTATGTTGATAATAAAATTTTGGTCAAAATATGCAAAACTTTATAACTTATGGGTTGTAAATAGAAAAATAGCTATTTTTACAAATCTATAAATCGTTATAAAACAAATTCGTGAATTATACGACACATCGATTAAATAACTCGCAACATTAATTCTATATAAAAAAAGTAAACGTTCAAGTGGTTGGGCTTGAGAGATTCTAAACATGCTTAATGGGCCTTCGTGACTCATTAACATGGCTTTTGGGCCCAACATAAATAATACATGTTATTGGGCCTCCTGTGACCCAATTACATGCTTAATGGACCCTCAATGGTTTTTACATGCTATTGGGCCTCAGTGGCCCATTATGCATTACTAGTAAGGTCCAAGTAAATTATATGCGAAAGGGGCCAATGCGCTTTTCGTATACTCGACAGCCTTATATAACATACAAAATTAGTAGGGCCTAGTAGTTCTCTTCTCCTCGTCTGTTAGGCTTACCTTCGTTTTGTATAAAATAAAATTCGATCATTAATCAAGGTTAATCAAACTCATGTGGATTACGTGAGTAATAACGGGTGACACCAATAAGTGTCGGTCGTAGTCTGTAGTTGTAATCAAAGTCTCCTGGAGGGAGAGCGAGAGTTTGTGTATAGATCTATACGGGGGTGACTCCCCCACACCTAAGCTGTTCGCTACAGTTAGACTCGGCCAGTATAGGGTGACAAAGTCTTAAGATCAAAATTCGGTGTTCATTAGAATACTAAGACAGACGAACTAGTCATTATCATGCATGGTTATAACGAATCACGTAGAAATCCGACATCATTAATCAGGGGAAATCATTAATCAAGGGAAATCATTAATCAAAGGAAGATCATTAATCAATGGAAATCATATTCATTCGATGTAACGATTCAATAAAGAAAAACAATCATAACTTTTATTCTTGATTAGTTCTTGAAGTTCTTTTTAGGATCTTCAAGAAAGTTTTATTACAGAAAATATCGGATTTTCTGGGTTTTACCAATGACATAAACTACTTTACCTCAAACACACTTATGAACACACCAACATTATATATGTTGACCGTTTTCAAAATAACTTGTATTCTCAGGTAATCATTAGACAATGAGGCATCCGGTGTGTTGAAAGTTTTATTTTGTAGTAGCTAATCACCAAACACTTTATATTTTGAAATCATGTAATGTAACCCTTGTACTCGATGTAAACAATGTCAGTTGTACTATGTAATGGTTGGTGATGCATGTGTTATGTTTCATATATATTCATTGTGATGATATTTCAATTTAAGTCACGCGAGCCCTCGGACGTTTCCGCCGTCTGGTTCGGGGGTGTGACAGTGTGTCAAGAGAAGCTTTCGATCATCACTTTCGGTATGGCCCTTCATTCTTTCTTCATGTGCTTTTAATCTTCCAATTACTTCTTCTACTGTCATTTCATCTCGGTTTCCAAATTGTTCCAGGGTCGAGGCCAATTGCAAGAATTTGGTCGACACTGCCCTAAGCAGCTTCTTCACGACATAGGCTTCTTCTACGGTATCACCCAGAGTGCGCATTGAGCTGACAATGTTATCAACTTTCACCGCAAATTCATCCACGCCTTCTGATTCTTTCATGGTAAGTGACTCAAACTCAGCCTTTAGAGTTTGTATTCTTGCTGTTTTTACTCTGTCGGCCCCTACAAATCTTGTCTTCAGAGCCTCCCATGTCTCTTTGGCTGTTTTCTTTTCAGCCAACGACATCAAGAGATCTTCAGGTATCCCTTGATAAATAACTGCTAATGCCATTTTGTCTTTCTTTGCATCAACAGCTGTGTTTGGAGTTCTGGGTGCTACTGCATCCCACACACCATGAGCCTGCATGAAGACCCGCATCTTGATTGCCCATGCTCCATAGTTGGTTCTTGATAACATTGGATAGTGGAGAGTAATTTGACCATCTTTGTCGCCATTCCCATTGTTTCCTGCCATCTCTTCACTAGATTGATACTTGGGCATGCACCAGGATTTGCTCTGATACCACAATGTTGGTATTTAACAGCTTTTCACAAGCTAATCAACAATAAGGAATGTAAGGCAAAGTAGAAAAGAAACAGGGGTATTGAGGCAAATGCTTCTTCTGTGTTTATTTTAATTGAAACTGGAATAAAATACACGTACATACTGCCTTCTAATTTAAAGAAAATACTTGCTAAAAATTAGGAACTAACTGAAACTAGCTAAAGACCAGGTAAATACTATGTGCCTTTGATTTATTCTTCCTAACACATAAAACGTGCATTATAATTCTGAATTACTTATAACAACATATTGATTTTATGAGTGAATAATTTCATTCCAAGCAAAGTATATTTTTGTAGGAACAAATCTTATTCGTTTTGATTGCCAGTGGTGGCTTATTGGGTTTAGAATAAGGCTCTCGTTTCTCATACGATGGTAAAGAGGGAGTGATTGTTTAATGGACCTTTAGTTTACCCTGCAACTCAATGTATTAACACATTTATCATAAATTATCTACACTTGGAGATGCTTTTAAGAGAACATATGTATTCGTCATGAATTCTATTGAATGGGAGATGGTTTCAAGGAATGTGTACGTATTTCTCTTTAGTTGTGTTTATGTTAAAAGATTTTTTAATTTAATGTTTGATAGTGTTACGATCAAAGATATTTTGATATATTTAATTTAATTTGATTATTGATTACCATTTCTTTTGATATATCTTTAAAGGGTATTTTTGTAATTGGCAGTTAATTTCATTCCATGCACTAATCAATTCCTCCCTACCAAACAACATTGATCACCACAGTATCAAGGCGTGTAGATTCATGGTGGTAGTGATAGTTTGGAGTTTACAAAAATGGTCCATGTAGTATGGCTTTTGCTGATTTGGTGTGAGGGCAAAATTGTGTTTCATATGTATTTAACAATGGGGTTAAGTGTCAAAGGACCAAGAGAGCCATCAAATCACAATACTATTAACAACCAAGACTGTAATTTACTCCTATTATTATTATACAAAAATCCACAACGACTTCACGTGATCATTAAAGAATGTGCACAACCCCCCAATGTTGAAGTGACATTAAACTTTAATATATTTCTCTCACATGTTTTGTTAAATACTATATATCCCTACTTCCATGGTAGAGTTACTTAAACCATCCATATTCTCCTATATTATACACATTTACAAATTAGTTATTTATTTTTTTAATACATTAATCAGTTAATCTATTTTGTCCAAATGTTGTAAATACTTTTTGTTGGTGTGTTCTTCATGCTGCAATTTGAGACTATGTAGTTTGACTTCATATGTGTCCTAATTCAAAGCTTTTACAGTAGTGGGGGTTCAAATGAAATAATCCCATAATCAAAGGGTCTTTTCGAAATATTCTCAAACTGTCAATGTTTACGTTACTCCGTCATTTTCAGCTACACGCTTAACTCATTCTTAAATAATTCCAAGATCGAAAAACTTCTCCAAAAATCATCGAAAAATGTCTTCTGTATTTGGATCGGGAAAGATACTAAAATCCGATGAATTCCTCCACCAAATCCATGGTTTTATACGAGTACACAAAGATGGCCGATGTGAAAGATTGGTGGGCTACAAGACTTTGCCCACCGGAATCGATCCTTCAACCGGAGTCCACTCAAAAGACGTCGTCATCTCGCCGGAAACCAACCTGTCTGCACGTCTTTACATTCCCAAAACCACAACCCCAGATCGGAAACTGCCTATCTTGATTTTCTTCCACGGCGGTGGTTTCATAGTCGAATCCGCCGCGTCTCCTATCTACCACCCTACACTTAACCTTATAACGGCGGAGTCCAACGTTATCATCGTCTCCGTTAACTACAGGCTGGCGCCGGAGCACCCTCTTCCCACCGGATACAACGACTCGTGGGACGCGATCAAGTGGGTAGCTACCCATACTAAAGGCGGTGGTCCGGAGCCATGGTTAAATGACCATGGCGATTTTCATAAGGTATTTCTCGCCGGAGATAGCGCCGGAGCAAATATCGCCCATAACATCGCAATCCGGGCCGGGTCAGAACCGATCGAAGCTATTAACCTCGAGGGTGTCATTCTTCTCCACCCGTATTTCGGAGGAAAAGATCCGATTGGATCCGAACTTGGGAAACATAAGCAGCTTAAAGTGTATACCGATCAATTCTGGAACTTGGCGAATTCTTCAGGGAGTGGGTTGGATGACCCGTGGTTTAACCCGGAAAAGGACCCGAAGCTTTCGGGTTTTGGTTGCTCCAAGATTCTTGTATGTGTTGCAGAAAAGGATAGTTTTAGGGACAGGGGATTGTATTATAAGGAATTGATGGATAAAAGTGGATGGCCTGGAAAATTGGAGATGATGGAGTCAAAGGAAGAGGATCATGTGTTCTTTCTCTTCAAAACTTCTAGTCCTAATGCTTGTACTCTGCGCAAAAGAATTTGTACCTTCATTAATCAAGTTAATAATGCCTCTCGTTTCTGAACAGTGGTATTTGGGTTTTCTTTTGTCACACAGTGCTGTAACACCTTCGTAAATAAACATCGGAAAATTGTAATGTAAACCAATTGGAATGCAATTCAATAAAATTTGTGTTTAGTTGATAAAAAAAAAAAAAAAACTATTAAATTTTATGGTTGAATAAATTATCATTCTTTGGCTAAGGAATCATGAAACTTATTAAGGCTTTTAAGATCAAAGTGATGGTTAGTGGCGGCCCTGGGGTGGTGCGAGTGTGCGATCGCACCAGGCCTCCAATCGTAAGGGGCCTCCAATTGAGAATTTTATTTAATATTATATCACTAAAAAAATGTTAAAATAAAATAATAATAATAAATTAATTAAAACATAATTGCATGTTACAAATCTCATTTATATTATAAACAATAAAAATTATTTTTGATAAAATATTGGACTCTTTTTGTCTTTAGCGGTAAAAAATTTTCTTAATAATATTTTACAAAAAATATATGGGGCCTTAATTTAATTTTTACACGGAACCTCCAATATCTCACGACTGGGCCTGGTGATGGTGTAGATGTTTTGTCAATGACTAGATTGGTGAACGATGTAACCCACTAAAAACGCAAAGTGACAATTATAGCAAAATAGATAGATAGTAAGGCTAGTATAGTGATGGTGTACAAGTTATCACCCAACAATCAGAATACAAAAATCACATTTTGAGCCATTAGGCCATTCGTAACACTGCAATGATATTAGTCTCGTAAAACTGCAATGATATTATTCTTTTAAAAACACTACATCAACTTTTACACTATTTTTTAAAAATGATCTCTACTCGTACATCAACAACTGATTTATACAATTTAATATTTATCAAAAATATTAATACAATTTAATATTTATCAAAAATACCCTTCATATTCGACGCCGCGAGTTCGATCATCATTGAAGCCTTTTGTTCCAATGTGCCTATATTTTTCAATTAAACATAAGAAGCTCATGTGACATGCATAGTCAGCTGCAACATTAGCGTATATTGTCAATTCAAATGTCAAGCTCAATAGGTAAAGAATGGTCAAATTGATTACATTCGGTATTCTATCATTTTACCTTAACAAAAATTAATTTCGACTAAATCATAAAGTGAGCTAAAACTTTAGGACTTTTTTTTGGAGATTTCTCTTATTTATTGATACAAACATTTAAGTAAACATATATATATATATATATATATATATATATATATATATATATATATATATATATATATAGACACCACATGAGAAGTTAAAAAACAAAGGTTAACTTAAAAAAAAAAAATACGACTCATAAATAAATAAATAATTTAACAAAAATTTCATTTTTATAAAGTTGATATAATGATCTCTAAAATAATTTTGAAATCACATATACTAATATACTAATAGAAACAAATATCAAATACTCAACGTGGGACTGTGGCTATATAATTTATTATTTATTAAATGAGAGTGATTTGTACACAATATTTTTTTGTCATACACAACAATTCATGTATTATAGAGTTGTACAATACAACATTTTAAAACACAAATTGTTATGTACAGAGAAAAAGTGTTGTGTACAAATCAGTTTCCTTTTGATAAAGACTTAAATAGTTTTCCTATAAAAATAATATAATAATATTAAAATGACCCACAAATTACTTTTGCTAAGATGCTTGTTTTTTTGAAGCAAAAATCTATAAAGTCTGCGGATCACATCTGCAACCTTCTGCAGTAGAAGAGGTGGACCAAACGGCTGCAAACTGTAATAAGAAGCGTGTTTTTTTTTAATCTGCATGCTGCTGCAGATATTAAAAAATTAAAATAAATTGATTTTATAATCCGAAAATAGTTTTTTAATACCGAAAATTTAATAATGTATGACATTTCGGCAAGAATTTATGATATTTCAGTAAAAAATAATGATATTTTAACAAAAAAAATAAAGATATTTAATCATAAAATAATGATATTTCATCAATAAATTATTATTATTCAATATTAAAAAAATTCAACAAGAATAAACAAAAAAAAACGAAAAAAAAAAATATGAAATAAGATTTCAGCAATATATAATCAATATTTTAGCAAAAAGAAGAAGAAGAAGAAGAAGAAGAAGAAGAAGAAGAAGAAGTTGGAAGAGGTAGGAAGAAGCAAAACAAGTGTTGCACCAAGAAGAACACGCGTAGAGGTTTTTTAATCCGAAGAATTCTGAAAAACAAACAGCTGCGAGATGAAAAGTGTTGCGCGTATGCTGCGCCGCGCAGGAATAAGAGGTTTGAAGAGGTTTTTTCCAAAAAACAAACAGCACGTAAGTCTCTCAAATTGTGAAAGACCAAATCCAACGTGGCTTTCAATTTGGCTTTGCAAGGCCTGCTGTGGATAGTCTTATATGGAAAGAAGTATATGATTCTATTGTTTTGCCTTGAATTGTATTGCCTTGAAGTCGCATAGAAAAATTTCACGAGGCTAGAAATTATGATAGATCATGTTTGGCCGACTATCTGAAATTTATCTTTTAGTTGAAGAGCTAGCTTTTAAATGAAAACTTGATTGTAGCTAATAAGCTAGTTGGTAGCTGGTAAACTAACTTATTAATTTATAGTGTTTGGTAAGGTGGTTGATAAACTACCTTGCATATGTAAAATAAGGTAAACGGACATTTACATATAGAATTAGATATAATTAAGGGAAAATGCTACTGTAACACAACGAAGTTGGGTCATTTTACTTATGTGGTTACTAAACTATTTTTTTTCGCAATAGGTCATTAAAATTAAGTTTTACTTGTTAATTAAACCACTATGTGACCTGATATGGGAAGAGTCGGTTACTTTGCTGTTGTTGGCATTTTTAAATTAGATTTTTATTTATTTTTTAGGGGCTACGTAATCTTCCATGTCTCTGTCTAATAATGGTGAAACTTGTCTCCATGTTACTTGTTTTAATCTTCATATCCACCTCTGTTCTTGCTGCTAGACCTGCTGTTAATCTAATGGAAGGTATCTTACAATCTTTCACTTCATATTCTTTTGATTTCATTAACACCCACTAATGATTAACACAAATGACGCCATTCTTACTCATGCTTTGTGAAGTTCATTAAGAGTTGAAGTTCACCTTCCACGTCCCACCTCCGTCTACCACCACCACCCACCACCGCTAACTACAATTAACGCTAATGAAATCATCATCACAATATGATTCCAACCATGATTATTAGTAAAAAATTGTCTCCTCCTTACTGCCTACAACTCAAAATAACAAGATTAAAAGATAGAAATTAATTGCAACCACCACCACACAGTCCACCACCACCATCCACCCCCAAATCTGGAGACTCGGATACATTATCTTTAAGGAAAACACAAATTGATTCCATTCAAGAAAAATGCAGATCGATTAGCTTCAAGAAATGCATTATCTTTATGAACTTAATCGCTCTCAAAGAAACCCATAACCAGATCGATACAAATGAAGAAGATTAACTATCACCATCGCTCTCAAGCAAGGCAGAAGATTACCCCTTTATGCACCATGTAATCGAACCAAAAACTCAAAATCTAACCAAAAACTATAAAAATTGAACCAAAAACTCAAAATCCAGTTTAGCTCATGTGAGAATCAAATCCAAACCTGCAAGAAAAATCTTTTCACGGATCTGGAATCAAGAATTGCCGATGAAGAATGAGCTTTTCATATTTTCCGTCATTCACGATTACAGAAAAATCATCGTCGACGAACACATAGCTTTACAAACTCTCGCCGAAAATGTTACTTTCCGGTACACCCAGAGGGAGGAAAGATGTTGTCGTTACTATTGTCGTAGGGGAGAATTGGGGTTTCAAGTGAGAGATGAAAGATAATGAATTTAATGATGTTTACTTTTCCTTTTTTTTAAGTTATAAATATTACATGGCATTGTGTTTCCACCTTATTTGCCCGAAAACCTGATAACTGGTTAGTAAATTGGTGGTTTCCAAATTTAACAGGTAAAATATGACTTTAGTGACTTAGTGTGCAACAAAAAAAATTGAATGACTAAATGGGTAAATTTGCCAAACTTCGTTGGGCTACAGTTGCATTTTCCTTATAATTAAGGGTGTTAGGGCTAGGATCTCAGAATTACAATCAAGATCATCAAACCTCAGGATCCTCAAACCTCAGGATCCCAAGCATACTTCAGGATCCTGACTATTATTTTTCAAATATTTATAACGGTTATATACTCTATTATCTTTCTCACATGTGCATAAATAATCAAGCCAAAGACTTATTCTTAATGAATAGTCGTCATGACCATGCAAAAGACCTGGAAGACCAAGTCAAGCAACGTCTATAAATTGATCTCGGAGGATACCGAAATTATCAAAGTTCTTGTTATTAGCTTTAGACTATAAAAATCACTTGTATTCATCACACTACATAAAAGACTTAGCAGAACAACAACATTTTTACTTATACTATTTACACTTTCTCTGTAATCGACATTTTCAATCAATAAAATCATCAAGGCAGGTGATCATTATCACCTCCCAAGGTTTTATGTCGGAGATCCTAGCAAGGATCAAGGGCTTTCCTTGTAAAAAACTTGTGTCACTTTGATCAACATTTTATACTTGCATTATTCTGAACATCACAGCCTCTCATACACTTTGGTTGATTCTTGCTTGTTCATTTTTTTTACCAAAACAATTTGGCGCCCATCGTGGGGCTGTGGTGTTCAAAACCATTCAAAAAACCATGTCTATTCAATCGACTCTATCCTCTTCCTCGATTCCTCTCATTTCCTCCAAAAACCTTCCACCACCGCCGGATGGAGCTCCCAAAAAAGTCCCAGAAACATCGAAGAAAAACACCTCTCCGGTCGTTACCCCAAGACTCCAGGATCCTTCTGTGTTGATCTCTTACAATGAAATCTTTGCTATATAAAAAGACTAGAACGACAAGGCGCCCAGCAGTAGGAGGATAATAGGACAATTCTCAAGGAAGTGG